GTTTGCACCTTTCAAGAATACCTGATGTTGCGAGTTATAATTGGAAAGGTACATAGTTGTATGATAAATAGATGTAGTCTGCAAATACTCAGATGCGGAATATAAATATTGAAGTCCCTCTCAAGCTTTAGACATCATCAAGCAACAGAGAAGAGACCTTAACAATATAATAATATTTTTATGATTTTATTTTACTTTACCGAATTTACTTTGCTCTTAGAAGTCATAAATGAAAATATTGAACCTGAGCCTTCCTAGACAATCTCCATCTACAGAAACTAATTTTGATTAGCCTAGACAATTCTGAAGTCTATCAGATTGTCTCCACCTAATAATGCGGATGGCAGCTCTCCTCCAATAGGAGAGACTCTGGGATCTGACAATGGGTGAGGAAGAGATTGTGATTAAGCCGGAGACTAATGAGGTGGTAGGCTACCAGAGGGCACTGGAAAGATACCAGGCGCAACAGAGAAGTATTCAGAAGGCAATCTGGACTCTCTAGTTGGGAATGACAGACACAATCACCGTAACGTACTATGGCTCACTCTTTACGACTCCTACCACCATATGGAACTATGTCACCGGGACATACAAGACTTTGGTTGGCTACAATGCCAATCATCTATGGAAGGAGCTGTAAGAATGCAGCCTGGAGAAGTCAGGGACAATCCTAATATACTTCAACCTGATCAGTGAGCTCAGCGACAAGCTCGGAATCTGCAGTCAGACGGTAACAAATGAGCAGTTGATTTTTTACATTCTTGAGGGACTATTAAAGACACCTGAGTGGAAGACCTGGATCATAGTTACAAAGAACACATTACCACCTTACACCAACACAACCTTATCTTTAAGAAGGTATGTGCAACTAAGATCTTCGTTCATAGCGTACGAGGTTGAGTTGCGCCACAAAGGAGTAATCGGCCTAGGCTAGGTGCTATATACAAAGTCTGTAACCATGACAAGAGATAGGCTGGAGAAGCCATCCAGTCTACTGAAAGGTGGGACTGAGATTGGGAGGCAACAGTCTGAGAGAGGAAAGTTCACCGGGACACGTCACTATTTCAGGAAGCAGGGATATAAGGTTTGTGAGTGTCTGATCAAGGCAGAGGAGGAGTCGCAGAGAAGGTCCTTGTCGTGGATGCATCAGTCCCACAGAACTGGCATCATGAAAGACAAGACCTGGTTGGTAACTGAAGATGTCCGATGTGAGAGGACGATTGATAAAGTTTTCATGAGTGAATAAGAAATCCACGAGCATGACTGGGTAATCGACTCAGGATGCACAAATCATATGAAGAAGCACAGAGGAGTCTTCATTCCTGGAACCTTCAAGAGGTTGATGACAAAAGAGCATCAGATGTGAACCGCAACGGGATAGCTAGTCTCTGCTGTTGGGATAGGAACCATTCAAGTACCGGTTTGGTCACCTGATGACGGACACAAGATAATTTTACTGGCAGATGTGCTCCACATACCAGGAGCTGGACCGACGAACTTGATTTTGGTCATTCAGCTGATGAACAAGGAAATGGACATATCGTTCCGGAGGGAGATTGCTGATATCTATAAGAATGGAGTCTTAACTGCCATTGCAAGAAGGGTCGACCATCTATACATGCTGTTGACAGATGAAAATGTGACCAGGACAGGGGCAATACTGATAGTGAAAGACCTGTAGTCCACGGTTCTATGGCATAATAGGTTGGGTCATATACACAACCAGGCTATTTTGAAAATAAGCAGCAATAAGCTCATACGTGGTTTACCAGTCTTGAGATTGACTACAACCAACTGGTGTGACACATGCCCTAGAGGTAAGATGATACAGATCCTGTTCAAGCCTGCTGTGCAACAGACAGCAGCACTACTAGAACTTATACACTTGGACTTATGTAAACCTGTGAGACAGAAGTCGTTTGGAGGATGTTTGTACTTTATGTTACTGATCAACGATTATACGAAGTTAACTGCGGTCTACTTTCTGAAGAAGAAAAGTGAGGCTGCCAGATATTTCAAGGTGTATAAGACGCACATTGAGAGATTACATTAAGGCAATGGAGATTTTGTGATCAAGGAAGTGAGGACTGACAGGGGTGCTGAATACACCGGAAACACTTTCCAGAGAGAATTAAGCTATTGTAGGATCGAATTTCACCGGACCGTACCATATACGCCCTAGGAAGATGGCGTATTAGAGAATGGCAATCGGGTCCTGGTCAGAAGAGCAAATATGCTGATGTAGCATGCAGGTATGAAGACGACATACTGGGCTGAAGCAGTCTCAACCATAGTCTACTTAAAGAACATATCTATCATGAAGGTGATGCATGGCAAGAACTCTACCCCCTACAAACTCTGGTTTGGAAGGAAACCAGACATGCAGTATTTACGAATCTGGCAATGTACTGCCTACACACACATACACCCAGCAAGGAGAAGGAATATGAAGTAAAGCCCAAGAGTGGAACACCAAATATTTATAGAGTATACGCTGACTACAAGACAATACAGGCTCTACGATCTGAGAACAAAGAGACATATAACGTCATGGGATGTCGTGTTCTATGAGGACAGTCCCTATTATAGAACTGGTAAATGGCAGACCAGTATCCAAAACAATTTCATGGTCCATGTTACAACAACGACTGAGTATGACAAGGACGATCATTCACGGTCGGATGAGGATGAGCCACAGGTCAAGACTGGTAATGACAGAGGCTCCATCAAGAATGAAGGAGATCTCAACTCTGAACAACAAATCTTGGAAGTGAGACCGAGAAGACCTCCTCGCAAGCTAAGGAGCGGTGTTGAAGGAAGAAGTGGATGCTTGATTAGAGAAGTGAAGTCCAAACTTGGAGCATACTGAAGCGAACCAGGGAGATGGGCCAGTGGTCAGAAAAGAAGGTTCAGAGGATCGATTGAGTAGAGCAATCAGGCTGTAAGCATCGACGTGGCTCAAATGGTCACTGATGGACCCAGAACCATCATGGACACCCTTGACAAACCCGACAGAAAGAAGTGGGTTGAAGCTATCAATAGTGAATTGGCATCACTAGAAGCGCACCAGACGTGGGATGTTATCAACGAGGAACAGGCTGTGAAGGACGCAAGAGGCATATCATCGAGGATGGTACTACAAGAGAAAATAGGTAAAGATGGCAAGGTCGCCAGGTTCAAGGCGCGAGTTGTTGTACACAGATTCCGCTAATGAGAGGGGATCAATTACTCGGAAATGTACAGTCCCACAATTTCATTCGTAGCCATCAGGATGGTCATATCGCGAGCTGCCATGGAGGACAAGGAGATAGTCCAGCTTGATATTGTCACGGCATACCTCGAAATCAAGGTTGAGGAAGAACTGTACCTAAGTCTGCCAAAGGAGTTTGGCGTGTCAGATTCTGTGGTAGTCAAACTATAGACCGACAAAACAAAATAGATGGACTAGGCTAACATTACCATCTGGTTGAACCGCAGTCTTTACAGATTAAAGCAGGTAGGCCAGATCTGGTATAATACGTTAAGCACATACTTTCCATGCGTGATGCAGATGAAAGCATCTAAATATGAAGCTGGTGTATACGCTACCGAGTCTGGAGCCACGATTATTGCATGGGTCGATGATATACTCCTGATTGGAACGAAGACGAAGGTTAGGTCTATGAAAGTCGTGATACAGAAACACTTTACCATCAAGGATCCGGGAAAGGTCAAGTTTTTCCTCAGTATGTTGGTCGAACAAGACCGCGAGAAGAAGGTTACATACCTGATTTGGAGAGTATACTTGGAGAAAGTCCTAATGAGGTTCTACATGGACATGTGCCAAGAATGCACGACGCCTATGGACGTCAAGACTATGCTACACGCAAGAATGGAAGAGGAAGCTCTGACTGAGAAGGTACTATACCAAGAGACCCTCGGAAGTCTTACTTATGCAGCGATCACAACATGCCCCGATATAGCTTACACCACTGGACTTGTAGGACGCTTCGGTGCGGACCCTTCGGTACTACACTAGGCTACTATCAAGAGGATCCTGTGATACTTGAAAGAGGCCCTGGGACTACGGATACGCCTGGGAGAGTCTGATAATAGGGACTTTGGGGGAGAAAATAGGAACACCCCCATTACAGTTTTCGTGGAGGCTGACTTCGCTGGAGAAGTGAATGGTATGAGGTCAACGACTGGGTTTATCATATGAGACCAGTACGGCGCTATCGTTTGTTGGAAGTCTCAACGCCAGAAGACTGTTGCGAAGTCTACTGCAAATGCGCAATTTAACACTATAGCCCTCGCAGTCATGGAAAGTATCTGGATAGCAAAAGTACAGGCCAAGCTCTATGGAAGAAAGACGTCGGACACACCAATTAGAGTATATAATGATAACCAAGCCTGCATTACCAGCTTGACAAATGGGCAATTCAAGGTGTCTACAAGGCACATCAGGGTCCAGTACTTCTAGCTATGAGAGCTAGTCCAGGACGGGGATGTCAAGATCGAGTATTTAAGGATGGATGAGATGGTGGTGCATGGTCTGACCAAAGGGTAGGAGCGGGAAAAATACAAAAGGTTTATGGCGATGCTAGGTATGGTGGACTAGAACCATACTACGAAGCCTGTTTCGTGCTTTTCTTTGTCATAAGAAGTTTTTTTTTTTACACGACGCTGAGGTCGTACGTACAGAGAAGGATGCATGGGATGCGTGGGATCCGGGGAAGTGATGGATGGAATCCCATGGCATAGTATATAGATTGAGCTACAGCACCACAGGTCTGTTGTGTGCCATACGTCGTTGGACGACTAGGGGTGGTAGAGATCCAAGGATACAATGTTGAGCGTGACTGGTTTGGGCGCATGCACTGGACGTCATGCGCACCGGTGACTGGGTTTTCATGTTGTGTGGGTTTTCCTGTTTTCGCCGATTGTGCGCACCAGCTACATGTATATAAAGCTGAGAGCTTCCCAGTAGCTAGTACTGATGGTTGTCGTCGTTGTTGTCACTTAGCATTCATATCACACATTCACTTTCTACCACACGTCCATGCTTTGTTCCTGGTATCGGCGATTCCACGCGCGCTACACGTATAGTCATCGTCCTACGTACGATTGATCTATTACGTCTCGAGAGTGTTGCCATCACCTCGCTCCACCTGTCACGTTCTATCACCCGGCCAACGAGTCATAGGGCTTCTTTTATGTTGATAACAACTCTCAATGGCGATTCCCTATCGCCCCTCAGACCCCCCTCGCAATAACTCCGGCGTCCCTAGCGCCCCGAGGTCCGACGCCACACTCCACCCGCGCCAACCCCCAATGCGAGACCAAAGGCATGCCTTCGGACGGCTGCTCAACCAAGAGGAGGCTACCGTGTGATCGGCAAGCCGGACGGAAGGAATACTTCCGACCTAGATACCGCACTCGAGTATGCTTGCCAGTAAGCGTATTGTCGTTGACTTAGAAGCGATTCGTTCTGTATCGAACGTTAGGGAGTTCAAAGACGTGTTAGCTCGGGGAGGGGGGAACATTTGAAGAGGACTATGATCGGTGCTTCGAGTCGGATTCGCCGGCAGCTTGGTAGATGTAATCCTGTCATCTGCCGCCGCCCTAGCGGGCATTCCAGAAAACTATCGAGTACGAGTTGCCGAACTTACTATTTCATAGTGCTATTCGAGATTCCAATTAACCTAACAAAAACCGTGCCACTCATTCTCCGTGGTGTAAGTTGATGGATATGTAATCCCAGTAGGCATGTTGGTGGTTAGCTAGAACGGTCATGGTGATGGTTGTCTGTCCTTTTCGTGTTATGTGGGTTTACCCTGATGTGTGGGAGTTTTCCCTTCCTGTATTTAAGCAGGAGCAAATCGGTCATGGACCACTAAGTCGAACACATTCACTCTTGCCTCCACACAAGTGTTTTCCTCCTCACGACACGAAGATCCGCTGCGTACGTTTGCTATCATAAGTGCTGTCGTAAATTACAACCCGCGAGCCCTCAACCCCTCTCTCCCTCGCTCTTCGTTAAGCGGGCTAGTTGGCGAAAGATGTTTCTTCGGAGGGGGGCGGCGGGACAGATTATTGCAATGGTGGTCACATTTGCACATGTAATTCTCGGAACCACGCAGATGGTCAAAGGCACTGCGTCCGGGTTATTTATCACTGCACCGGTGCCACCTGACTCAAAAATATATGCTTTTGTTCCATTCTCTTAATCTCTTGGATGAGGCTGACGAGTGATTAACTATGCAGTGCCTTGGCTGCAACTTGAAACTGGGTCAATTGAGGACTAGAGCTGTAGCAAACACAATCTCTACTTCAATTGGCTGGATCTTCAGTATGCATATCCCCTCCAGCAGCCAGTTGGGAATACACGGCTAACAGCAATGGACTGCCCGATCGCCCAGGTGACACCCACAGTGATCGTAAGCATCGACTGGAAAATGTATCGTATTTACTTGATTTCCGCCATTTTCAATGCATCATTCCCCCCGATAATCTACCGTCCCCATCCCGAGACAGCCGGCTGATCACTCGAGGGGTAGATGTAGTATTCGCAAAATGGAGGGTCGACAGGGAAAGTCCCCGTTCCCATGCAAAGACGATGCCAAATATTTGGGATGCTGCTGGGGGGTGCGTCGAGGAAGAAGGCTCTGGAGCATCGGGACCGGAAGCGATAGCGCACTCACTAACAGAGGAATACTCGTAAATGGGCTCGTACCGCGCGGGAAGGTCGCCACTGCGGGTGAGGCGCCGAGGGGCGGATACGGTAGATAAAGTTGGTTGAGATTGAGGGTGGGGCGGTAATTGGCGAAACACCCCACCAACCCCCCCCTTTCCAGGGCCTCTGTCTCTTCCTTTCATTACCGTTACAAGTACTTTGGCGCTCCACGATACCAGTGCCGGTAGAGCGAGTTGAGATGGGGGCATAACTCGATTGAATTCAGATACCCTCTGGGACTTTGTATACGGAGAAAGTGAAGTTCACGTTCACTGGATATGACACCGGGAGTCCTATCGAACGGTGAATAATCACCGCAGCCTGGCCTATGATATCGACCTCTCCGACAGCTACAGGTGCAGGTATGGGATGGGATAGATGGGAATGACATGCCTTGTTGAGTCATGTGTGCTACAATGGATTTTCACTGCCACTCTGGGTGGGAATTCGTGGAGTGGTTACACTCAAACCACTCTTCTCGGGGAGACCATGAGAAGTACCCACGTCATCTTATTCTCCGTCATTGATGGTGAGGCACTTTGATTGACCCTCTCCTTCCTCTCTTCTCAGCTTCAGCTCGTCTGATCGAGAAGTAAGTTAAGTGGAGACCCTCATTGTGAGTTTTTCTGCGAGTTATTTTCGGGGGATTTCTTGTTGATATTCTGCTGGGAAACGGAATTCGCCTGCTCACTGCTATGCTACGGTACCGTCTTCCACCTATTATGGTCGAAATGGTACCGGTAGCGGGCTTAGTAGCTCTACTTCTGCTCCTCATCCTCCTCAAGTGCATGTAAATCTGTCAACTCCAAGGATCAAGCATAGCAAGCACCTCTCGTAGCCAGACGGAACGCCTAACTCACACTCGCAAGAAAAAAAAGTTCACATCGACACACCCGACAACTTTCCAAGCGTTGTACTAGTACAGCACCACCAATCATGCTTTATCCTCCCTTCCCTTCGCGCAACACAGCCCTCTACCCATCCATTCTATCCAACCATCAGCCCTTTCCAATCTGCAAGTGCAATAAACCCACGCAAAGTACTCGAGCACTTGTAAAGCAATGGAACCACTAACACTAAGCCCTGCAACAAGAAAAAAAAACATTCCCCACGTCGCTCGAGACTCAATAAAATCTCTTCATTCCTCCCCAGTGTTCTCCGATCCATCCATCCATCCATCCTTTATTCATCAACGTCCATCCTACAGAGCCTCGATAAGAGGAAAAGCACGGCTTTGACGAATACAATACTATCCATCTATTAACTAAAGATAAGCAAAAAAGAAAGATGCCCCGCCGGCGAGAAAGGTCTATGATCCGCTCGGGCATATCTACGTTCCTACACAGGAGCCGCTCCTCCTCACCCTCCCCATCCACCTCCACTACCTCTCCCAATCGAAAACCTAGGGGCGAAACTGCCCTGGAGCGGTTCACGAAAGCCAGGAACGTGCATGACTTTCTAACTAATCGAGCCCCGCGTGCTATCTGCGAGAAGGAAACCGCGATATTGAAAAAAAAAGACGGAGGGAAAAGCGATAGCCGTAGTAATAATAATAGAGAGAGCTTCACGGTGCTTAGAGCTCAGGTTTACAAGAAGGGGGAGTGCAACGACTTTAAGTACTCACCCATGCTAGCCGCCAGGGTTCCAATGATAAGGGTGGATCCACCGGACGATATCCCGTTCGAGCTTAAGATTGAGGAGTTGAGGATCGATAATGGGGTAGTCACCCCGCCGGGGAGTCCTGTTGAAGGAGGTAGTAGTAGTGCTAGCAAGGGGCCGAAGTTGAGGATGACAATCCCCGGTATCCCATCGATACATACACCTCCCTCACCTCCCGATTCTCCGATCCTGCTGGCGAGCCCTACCCGTTCTCCGCCTCCACCACCACCATCACAAAAAGCGCCGCAAGGACACTCCCCCTTCCTAACATTGTCAGACGACATCCTACTAAGAATCTACACCCACTCCCCAGCCCTATCCACTGCCACCACCCTCTCCGAAACCAACAAGCGTCTGCGCACACTATACACCTCCACAGCTCTCCTCATCCTCCAGAAAGTGCTCTCAAGAACCTCCCCGGCCGCCCACCGTTTCCTAAACATCCTCCAGACATCATACACCCCAGCGACATACGCGGAATACTACTCCGTAGCAACCGACACCGTCCGCACATTCTCATCCCTAATATCCGCCCGCTGCGAGTATTTATGCCCGGAGAACACCCTTGCCACCGAAGAAGCGCTCTTCAACGTGTGGTCTTATTGCACGCTCTTCGCCCCGACATCATCCCCGCACAATGCACAGGAGGAGTGGCTGCAGAGGGGCGGCTTCTCGAAGGAGCAAGTTCTGGATATGTTGAAAGTCTGGAACTGCATTTCTGTCCTTCTACAACCGTTCCTGAAGGAGGAGAGGTTGGCTAGGATGTACGGTGTTGTGACCACGCCCAAGGATGCGGAGGGCGTGGAAGTGAGGGTGCTCAAGGAGTTAGAGGGTTTTGTGGAAGGGTTGCTGGCTAGGGGGTTGGATACCCTCCTGCCTGTTGTGCGATGGGGTGAAGAGGAGCATAATCAGCGGTATGCGATTGTTGTGGCTAAGGGGTTGAATAAAGTTAGGAGTGATGGAGCGGAGAGAGGGAGGTTTTTGAAGGAGGTGGCTGGGGGGGTGTATATGCAGATGTGTATTTCTGAGGGGCAGGGCAAGAGCAGTGGGGGGGTGGGGGGATGGGGACCTACTTTTGAGGAGTAGAGACTAGATAGATGATCTGCTAACGGTGGCGGGATTGTGGAGTATGTGTGTGGGGGGGGGGGGGTTATTTGTATCTTCTCTATCTTTTTTTTCCCTTTCTTCCTTACAAATCTTGGGATGGAGTATCTAGTTTGTCACTGGGAATTGGTGTTTTGGCGAAGTTTTTTTCCCTTTTTCTTTTTCTATACCAATTTTAGCATACCTATTTGGTATGAACAATCATCTACTGTACTTGTACTGCGTTTGAACAGTATCTATCACCTGTCTGTCTGTCAATCGGGTATCAATAGAGCTTACCTTTGAGCAAGCTACCGTGTTATACCCGTCATTAAGATAGCGACTTAAGAAAACTACCGTATCGAATTGGAGAGAAGGGATGAATTATCATATAATCTAGTGTATTGTAGAACCCCCCCAGATAATAAACAAATTTAGTAAATTTAATAAAGGATATCGCAATATCCCGTCCCACCCAATCCTGTCCATCCCACCCAGTCTAGCCTATGATAGATATGCACAAATCACGAAATAATCCCCAACGCCCCGTTTATAAACTCTCGCTCCATCCCGACTCATCCCCATCTAACATAAACCCACAACCCCCGCCAAGCTGCCTATTCAAATGGGATACTTAACCAAAGGTGGTACCTTAATAGGGATGTACTCGAACTTTGGCAACTCTGCCGCACTATCCCTCTCCCGCGTTTCTCCTCCGCTACATAAAGGTGGCGGGGATGGTGGCGGGGTAAGCACGTCCCCGTTCCCAGCGCTCCTCCGTTTACGGTGTTCAGATACTTCCTGCGATTTTATCGAAGGCGATGTGTCGAAACCAAGGCTCCGCCGACTGTCCCTGAACCAGCCCTCAGAAATTCGTGGAGTTCCGCTTGAGCGGGGGGTGGGTAATCCTGTTGACGCGTCGGGGGAGGGAATTGCTGGGAGTGGTGTTCGAGGTGTAGATGGTGTTGTAGCGATTTGTTTACGTCGCCTACTTCGCCGCGCATCAATCAACACCCCGCTCACAAGCGTGAGGGAAAGGAGAGAGTAGGAGAACTTACGAAAGCGCAACAACCCCCGCGACTGCTCCCTCCCACTCCTTCTTCAGCACTTTAATCTCTTCCGCGCTCCCTAGTGGCGCCCCGCTGCCCCATATTGCCCTCCTCCCCCCCTCTTCAATTTCCAAAACCCGATTCTGCAACCGGGCTGCGAGCCTCAAGTCATGCTGGAGGTCGTCAACTTCCTCCCTCACCCGGAGCGCTTCACCGCCGTGCTCCTCCCACCAGGAACTGTCCTTCCTCACCGACACGCGGGTGCTCCTTCCACGCGAGGGCGCGGACGCAGCTGGAAATGTGCGCCGGTGCGGGGGCGGCGGCAGGAGCGAGGGAACTTCGATTATTTGGCCAGGGTCCGGCGCCGGTGCTGGGAATGGCTCGAGGGAGTGTGCGAGGAGGAGGAGGAGGGTTGAGTGGTAAGTTTTTCCGGTCGTGTGGAGCGGGGGCGTTGGCGGGGTGGGTTTGGAGGCCCAGATTGACATTTTGGTGGGTCTTTGTTAGATTGTTTAGTAGCTTAATGGTGGTGTTAGTGGTGGTGGTGGTGGTGGTGACACTGCGTGAATTGTCGTGAGCGGGGTTCCCCCGTCCGTCGGTAAGTATCCGGTTTGTCTGCTTGGTGGTTTGCAGCCGGCGACAATAGCGGTAACGTTGGCGGTGCGGTGGTATGATAGTATTGACGCTCTCTAGTACTGTGAATAATGGCGATACAATTTTTGAAGTCGAGATCCAGCCTAGCGTTCCTTCCTTCTTTATCTCTCCCTGTTTGCGGTGTTTGTGGGTTAAAGTACGGGTGATTTACCTGTGCTCCACCGTCGCCTTCTTTCCCCTCCTCTTTATCTCCCACAAACCCCTAGCGTGCTCACCGGAAGTAGTAAGAGTAAAAAGACCAATACCAAGCCTCTTGAAAAAAACTCCCTTCGACCCCTAAAACAAAATATAATATTTTTAACCGCCCTCCCTCTTGCTCACTAGCTTTCTTTCTTTGCTTGTTGGTCTCGATCTCACTCGATCACATGAGCAGGATGCAAGAGTACCGCTGCGGCTGTCGAAGCGAAAAATAAAGGATTGAAGAAGGAGGCGAAGTCTTGCTTCATACTCTTTCCTAGCCCAGCTTCACTGACCACCCACCTCCGGGCATTGAGGTGGAAGGGAGGGGAATTTATTCTTTTCATTTCAAATAGAATGGCTCTGCCCGTGCGGGCATTTGAAACGATGAGGTATATACATTCGTAGAGCGCGGTTTCATGATTGGAGGGATGGGGTATCATATTGTAAGGTGGGAAGGAAAACAGGTGGGAAGGTACAGTACAGTACTTGCATCCGAGAGTACGGTATTGTGTTATTGGTATGCGTATATTTGGTACTGATGGTGGTGGTGGCGATGATGATGGGGGCAAAGCCGTGATTGTAAATTCTAGTTTTTTATCCGGTTTCGGATTAGCGCGGGGGAGTATGGTGTCCGTTGCGAGAATAGTTGAGTTGAGTTAAACGTGGTGGTGGGCTTCAACTTGCGAAATATTGATTCCTTTGGATACCATGCTTGGGTACCGGTAATTCATTCAGTACAAATCCTCAATATGGCCCTCCCCCGTGGGGCGCGGCCACCTCACAGTGACCTTCCTCCTCTCAGTTCTCAACGTATAATAGCAGTCGTTCGAATAGTGGACAAGACAAAATACCTCTAACAGCCAGTACACTCAAGGATTTCCCCTCCCCCCCGCCAGTGGCCAGCACATCCCCCATCCCCACAGGAGCCAGATTCCTCCTCTTGATACCCCCCCGACGATCCCCCTGATGCCCACCTCTCTTGCAGACCCCAAGCCTCCGTCAACAAGCCCAGTAACGACCCCGCTCCCAGTCTCCGACAGCGGCTATAACAGACCGGCTTCATGGAGCTCGCCGTACAACCAGCCTCTCCGCACTTACCGCGCTTCGAGGAGATTCTGGTGGAGCACGGATTCCTGGAGAAAGAGCTGATAGCGCGGGGATGACGTTGCGATGGCGGCGCGCTCCGCAAAAGGTGACCCTGTCAGACAAGTTTTCCGGAGCGATGGAGCAATGGCTGGAGTAGAAGGATAGGGTTGAGCCCGATGAGGAGACAAGGTTCTCGGAGGTTACGGGGAGGACAGCTAACGGCGATGGAGAGGTCGCGGGTAAAGCCGCCAGTGTGACGAGAGTTGGCGAGGCAGTTAGCGGGGCAGCATTCGCGGCTGGGGAGTGGGTTGGCGAGAAGGCTGCCGGGGGGATGCCCGCGTCCACTGCTGGCAGCCTGGCACTACCGAACCCAGATTGGAGTCTGCCCAAAGAGGCGGTTTCCTAGAGAATCGATTCCGTGGGAATCGCTGTGGGTGGGATCGGTGAGAGGTTCGTTAGTTCTGCTCAGCACCTTCATAGCTAGCATGTTCTAAGAAAACACGTCCGCATAGCGCGTCACACGTAACCTAAACCCTTGCCACCAGTATCCCCAAAACCGCCGAGCACGAGCGCAGCACCGGAGCGGGAGACCGCGTCGACGCTTCTCGGAAAGCAGCCTGGGACGTCGGCACGGTCTTAGGTTCGGGCGTGATCTGGCATTCGGGCGTCGCGGCGGCGAGGAGCGGGTCGATGTGTGTGCTAGTGTTCACTTTGAGAAGACTTCATATAAACACTAGGCCACGAGGCAACCGAGATCTTGAAGGTAACTTATCATACGATAGGAGAGCACATGTGTGGGGTTGCCTATAGTCCATGCCCTTGGGTAGGCAAGCGGTTGTAGGGCATGCAGCTTTGAGGTGTGTGGTGAATGGGTATGATACATGGTATGGTATCATATCATGATAGTGGTTTGTTGCTTTCACACCCCATACCATTAGGCACCCGGCACCCGGCATAGGGCACAGGCTTAGGGATCGTGGGGGATCATGAGATATCAGGATAGTTCTATCAGAGATTTTTTGTGATCGCGGAGGATCATAATTTGTCGGGATGGTGTGTTTCTTTAAAGTTCGTCGAGTTCCTGGAGCTGTCAGCCTAGCGTAGGAACTCGAGTGATCGGACCACATGCTAGGAGTTGGTGTTGCCTCTCCTAGTAAGGTCTAGTGTTTTTTTTTCTTTCTTCTTTTTCATTTGTCTCAGACGGTGAAAATTTTGGACTACAGTTACAAGTACCTAGCACATGGTCTGTTTAGCTATTCGAGTTTTTACGGTACAAGTACCGTATTCGGAGGTGTATTTATCTCCTTTTCTGTCCTTTGCTAGTGTCTTTGACGATCGTTCAGTGCACCATCCTTTTGCGTTCCCTTGCGCGTAGCCTCTCAGCGATTTCATTCTCACCGCTTCGTCCTTTAGTGCTTTCATTGGATTAGGCTTCTCTAACATAGACCTCCTTGCCAAGTAACTGCTGTACTGACTACTCGTATAGATGCGCGGTTCCGCGAACCTGGCGTTCGCACAACACCAGGATCGAGATCTTGGATGGGCTCATTTCGAACGCGCCGTTGCCGTCGCGGATGATTTTGCGAAGTACTTGAGTATACTGTACTAAGCTTGTGCATGGGAATGCCGGTGGTGATGGTGATTAAGCGAGGACTACTGGGTATCAGTGAGGGAGGAGGGTGGTTGGAGTTTGCTTGATCGGTGAATCGGAGTGGCATGGTGGGGTTCCTGTGAAACGGGATTTTGCCCCTGGAATGGGCCCCTCCCCCACACAGACCCCAATTGCGCAATACCACCCCCCCCCCTTGGGCCACCTTAATCTCCGGTTGGGGGAAGCTCCGTTTCACGAAGAATTTTGCCAAGTGGCTGCATGCTGGTCCATGCTGGTAACGTGGGGTTTTGGGGATATGGGAGGTTTGAGGGTTGCAAATTTGGAGCTGTCTTGCTGTTCATTTCAGATGATATTTTGAGGGTGGTGGCTCGTTTATTACTGGTTGTTTGTCTTGAACATAAAGCTGATCGCTGGCGAGTGACACTTTATGATCGTAGGAGTTAAAGGTATGTGAGCGAAAAGTGTGCTGGTGCAATGCAAATATTTACAATACCTTACCGATTCTCCGCGGCTTGCACTTCCGATAAATGGATGTGTCGGGGTGTCTCGAGCGTCGCGTTATGGCTTGGATGGGATTGCGGACATTATTGTGTAATCACGAACATGCGGTTTTCAAGTAAACTATTCGTCAACCCTAGCCATTTGGGATTTCCACAAACTGACGCAAGTAAATTTATATCGCTCGTAAAAAAAGAAGGGCACAATCGAACCAGCGAACCCGGATCCACAATTCTAATGTAGCTGGTACAATGTCATTAGATAGCCCAAAACATCCAATAGAAGAAACCAGGAAGAACTAAGGCAAGTCCGACAACACCACTGCCACCTGTCAAGAAAGGTGCGGAAACCCCACCTCCACGAGCGCGCGCTCCGTGGTATTGAGGCCAAAACACCCCAGAAGCTCTTACTTATCCCTAAGGAAGGAATAAAGGTTCGGCAGCAAGAACTTACTCGGCGCACCAGAAAAAATACATTTGCCCTCAGGAGCGATCATCTTCGGAAGTACTCGACTGCTAGACATCTCCCGTAGAGCCGCCATAGCCTCTGCGGTGAAATGGTGGGTGCAAAATCTGGAGAGGGGGAGGAGTCGTCTCTCTTCCCGTCCATTTGGCTGACTAAATTACGCTGCCGTCTAGGCGCAGCTTATTCCTGCACCTTCAAAGAGCTAGCCCGTGGTGGGGAGGGGCTTTCTCTGCAGGCGAGTGGTGAGTATTATCTTGACCGAGTCCTCGGAGACCCGCGTTAGTTTTTTTAGGCTTCCGGTCAGTTGCTGGATCTCCCTGGATGTGCCCCCGGCTTTGTCCTCCAGTACAACGGAGAGCGCAGGGACCGATGGAGTCGATAATGGATGGGATTATCGAGATGGAGCTGGGGACTGAACACGGGCACTGCATTGCAGTGGTTACATTGATCTTATGAATAGCAAATACCTTAGCCGTGGTCATGCAAGTAGTTGAGCCGCTGCCACCCTATGATATCCGTGCCATGTATGATATCATAACTTAAATCTATGATGTACGAGCAGCACTTACTGTAGTCACATGTCTGGATCATTAGATAACGGGAGTTTGTGCGGCGAACTTATGATAAGATCTTGAAGTCGGGATAAACTGCCCCGAAGCCCCCAGCTGGAGCAGTGAATTTAGTCTATGACATCGTGTTATGATACCATAGTATTTAGTGTCCTATAGGGTCAGACTAGGGTGACCAACAGATATTTCGGGCTGGGTTGGAGAGACAAAAGAAAGCTTCTAGCTATGGTCACAAAAAAACAGGCTTTGTCTCATGTGACGGGCCCGCCGGAAGTGGTAATGGGTAGAAGGGGCTGATGAAGGATGGGGGAGACTATGGGGAGAGCCTGACTAATGTCTCGCCAATTCATTCTAAAAATGAAGCCGAATGAAGAAGCATTAGAGGAATCTCGAGCCTCAAATTCATTGAATACACCTTCTGCTAAGGAACAAACATTGTCAGTTTACAATCAGGATTTAGATACCGAAGGATCGATACATTAAATAGTATGCCACCGTGAGTGTTGTAGCTTAGTTGGGTAATATATGAGAGTGCGGAGGATGGAGGCTGCTTGCATTATGTGCTGTACAGTACAAGTACAGCACAGTACAGTTTACCTGGAAAGCCCGACCTGATAACAAATCATATAAGATCTCTTCTTCCTTCTGTCCTAACCCCTGCGCCTGGAAACAGCAAGGCATCTCTGGCAAGCCGAGCGGGATTGAAAAGTGGAACAAAAGGAGGGGAGAAGGGAGCGAAATCGGAATCAATAGATAGCAATGGCATGGTCGGAAACACAGAAGAAGGCTTCCTTCTAGATATCCACATTGCCTAGAGCGGGGTGTTGTAGAGGGTAATGACCACATCGAACACCTGGTTTGTTGGTTGTATGCATGACGGTATTGGGAGGCCATCGGTGCCCGCTCGCTGATTTCTTATACTTCTGCTTCCCTAACGGTATGCTGATGGCTGCACTCCCGCAATATTGCTCTGTCAGTTGATAATGATTATCATTCTTGCAAAGTATTCAACAGCAGTAAATAGAGGATTTCCTGACTTGACCTAGGTGCTCTTAACTTGGCACTGGGTAGAGAATACAGTATATCGAAATACACCACAAAGCATACTCAGTAGTAATCGGCAGGGGGAATGTTGTGGAATATCATTTCACTCGTGTGACTAATCATAAGTGGGCCACTGGGCGCCCCTCTAAGTCAAGAGTGAGAAGACGCTCCAGCATCAGCGGTACGAGTAGGATAAGGGATAGTAGGATAATGCTTGTTGATTCCGCCTTAGCGTTTCCTATGATACCTTTTTCGCGTACTGCCCAAGACAATCGCTGCAATATTACAACATAGTACCTGCTGGGAGGTTTCAAAGTTAAAAGGCTGATTTTTTAATAACGAGTATTGTATACTGGGAAGTTGCATTAGGCTACTTTATAATATTAGCCAATCATGTCCTGATATTTTGGGTAACATATTTGAATGCGCAAAGGTAATGGAAGGAAGGAAAAAGGTGCTGAGGGTGAAACAGAACTTACAGATATCACATAAGCCTTGTTTCATCAGTCAGAAATCAAAGTTAAGAGATTCCGCCCAGAGTGTAGATAACCATTTCTAAAGTTAGTGAAGTACCGTTTGGTGGAGTATTTGTAAATTAACTGTCTCTGGGAGTGTCAAGCTTGTACTCGTACGAGTGCTCGTGCGTCTTAGCCAAGAATTGGTTTCCCCATTTGTGGTAGTGCATGGGGGGCTGGTACTTTTCCGCAAGAGGAGTATAGTGGAGAACTTGGAAATCTGTCTTGCTGTTTCTTTATTCACCTGAAGGCAGACTGACTGCTGTTCAAAGGTCACTCCCGAGCACACATGAAGGGCAAAAATAGCTGCTTTGATTGATGTAGAAAGACTTTTTCCACTGGGCATTATTGAACAGATGAACCTTCCTCTATGTTTTGAGGTCGCGGACTAGTGCGCAATATCCATACACTATACTTCTTTGGTGGAAAAGTACCGGTCCACGCTCACTACGGGTACAAGTACCACAAATGGGGAAGCCAATTCTTAGCTTAGACGCACGGGTGTGAAACAGCAAAGTGTAGTAAAGTTATGCTCTACATTTTGAGCCCTTGAGCTCCTACCATATGTAGTAACAACGGTGAAATACGATCACTTTACGGGCACGGTACGGTGCCGTAAGAACTCTTGCGATTCGCCGTCTCCGTGAGGTCGCTAATCTAGGGATTCAAAGACGAAATTTCTTGGGAAGGATCTGCGCTTTTCCGACACTGCACTGCCCGGTCCTTGTACGGTAGATACCGGTACTCGAATAGCCTGAGCGCTTTGGCCTTGCTTGACCCCACTAACCGGTCCCCGCAATCCTATTAGCTTGGCGAACAAAACATAAATTATCGTGGGCTGATAACACGATTCACGGGGAGAATCCGATGGCGAATCGCAAAAGAGTTTTTGGCGAAGTACTTGTATGGTAAGGTACGGCTGCTAGTCAAGTTCTCAATGGCGTGAAGCCCTAAAGCAACCCCTGGCATCCTGCCCCGTGCGCATGTCGCCTAAAATAGGATACTGTCCGACGACTCCGGTCTATTTAGGGAAATCCCCACAGGCAATCCTGCACATCCGTGGGCTAAACCGAGCTTCTTCTGGTTCATGCTACATCACTCGCTATTCCAACCATTGCTTTCCAAATCTGGTTGCTTTTTTGACCAGACTTAGACGTAGCATACGGCGGACTAAGGGATTATGAATGACATTCTTATTGTGTTTATCATTAAAATTTTCCTGCCTAATCGCAATATATATTCGAATTCACCACTATTGATAAATAAATAAAGGAGACTGTGTGCTGTAGTAGCTGTAGTGTCAATCTGTGAGTTGTCCCGGCCACAAGTACAATTTATTTAACATTTCCCGTAAGAAGATTCCGATCCGATATGTAGGATGTAAGAGGTACAGATGAAATATATATACATATTGCAGACCTGCTGCGAGAGTAGAGAGAGATGAGAGAGAGCGTGTGTGATTTGAGGATTGATTAACCCTAGCACCCGGCAAGGTATCGTAACAAGAGACCTATTACTATTAGACTGGCACGGCAAGGATATCACCAATGTCAGCGCTCACCAGGTTCTGATTTCTTCGCTCTGGGAGCAGAATACGACCGCGTCGGTGGCGGTGGAGGTGGGGGCGGGGCTGAGGGCGCCCATATTGGTAGTGATCGGACTGATGCTGATTTTGGTGCTGGGTGTGGCGGGCTTTGAGGAGTCGGTTGCGATTTCGGTGGTTTCGGGAGGGGTCTGGCTTTGACGAGCATGTTCCTTGGAGCCTTGGGCGGCTTTGGGGGTTTGAATAAAATAACTGGCGTGATATTCTCAACTGTTATCACCTTCTCGACCGGCCTGGTCCTTTTTGTCCTCTCCTTCGATTTTTCCTTCTGCGCCGATTTCGCCTTCCCGGCAGGCTTTGACTTTTCGGCTGGTTTGACCGCTGAATGGGCTTTGTGTTTCTCATTTGGCTTTGTCTTCGGAGGCTTCAGCCCTGGGCTGGACGGACCTGAGCTCTTGAGGAAGAGCTCAATGTGTTTCACGATACTCAGAAATAGTGGGCTCTGCATAGATTCTGGCTTGCAAATCTGGTGGTGATCGCAATTTACGACGTCGATAACAGTTTCTTTTCGGCAATTTGTCACCGCATATTTGGGTTCTACGATCTAATTACCAGCTAAATATTAACTCACGACCGTGTGTAGATATTCAAATGGGTGCGTCGTACCATCCCAATGCCGCCCACTCGTGCAGTCTCGCGGAAGCATAAAACTTGCTTTCTGCCCCAAACACTGTTGAACTGTTCTGCCAGTGTGGCAAGCATCGACGACCGATCTCGCAGCACATGAAGGAACTCGGAACGTGGAAGGAAGGCCTGGCTTAATGCCGTTGCCATGAAGAGCCTTTGCGCCCAATACGACCCGCGATGAGGTGTGCCCATGAAAATTACTGCTGGCGCTGTAGAGAACAGATAGGACCAGGATTGCCCTGGAGTGGATGCAATAACCATAGCCTTTGTATCCAAAACCCATTAAACTAGGGTTCTGTAACAATGGTGGGAATATAGACTAACCTTCTTCACCACAATTCCTCCAAGACTATGTGCAAGAAAAATCACAGGCCGCGATGGTCTGTCGCGATTGCTACTTTTCCCTTTCTAACCCTCATTATATTAGTCTCAAGGTAAACGACGGGGGTGTGAACCAACCTTTCGCCCAACATCATCAGCGACCAGCGCTCTCAAGAGTTTCGTCGCATGAAGTGACAGATCATCTTCGGAACCCAGAATCGCTTTCGCATTATAACCGTAAGTCCACACCCGACCTTTAGGGATCGCTTGAGTAAGCCAGGGGGGCCAGAATTCGGAGTGCTTGTTTGTGAATGTGCGGGAACGGTGGCCGCCGAGCCCGTGAATGAATACTAGATCTGCGGAATGATCTCCATCGGGATCAGAAACAAGAGCAAGTCCTAGATCCGCAGACATTCTCTCGGTAATAACTAGAGTTCAATGATCATAAGAATGGGGGGAGTAGCAAACGAGGGGAAGCTCAATTGTAGATACAGTGAGGCTGCCCCCCGAACTTATTGCATTCTCGGCTAGCAAGTCAAACTTGGTATACACCTTTCTCAATTCTGAAAGGGGGGCTCCCCTGGCACCTACATATGAACTGGATTGAACGAAGTGCTTTGCAGGAGTGCGGATGGTTGAAATCTCGCAGCCAACGATTGCTGTCAGTTGAGAAGAAAAGCGCTGGGGCGAAGCCCTGCTAGCAGCCTAACTTGCAGGGCGACCGAGCATTTCTCTAAAGACCAACCGGTGCGTTCCTCGTAACATGGCTGACTAGGATTTGACGCTCTTAAGGAAATGGTTGGATGCGAGCAACTGTTGGAAAACTCTGAGAGCCCAATAAGGTTTCGGGCGCTATCTGCCCTGGCATCAATCTCACAGCTTGTGATTGGCTAAAAAGCCTTGAGGCTCGGCCAATTGAACGCCCAGGAATTGAGCTTATCTTATCGCACAGGTACGAATGCCCTGTGGTTGGGTGAGGTCTCTAGCGAGGGGAGCATCGTTGTCAAGAAACTCCTCACAGTGAACTCTGCGGATATGGGAGCTGGGAGTTGGTTACCGCGGTGGAGTACGGTTCGGGAATTTATCGGCCGACATTGGAGCTTTCTCTTCACTTCCTACTGTGATGGAAGCGCTTTCTAGGGTCCATTTTCATTTTAGGGGGTTTGAGAGGAGTTAACCGTCCGGAAAACGATCGGATACCTGATTTTGGTCTGTGGATTTTGGTCGAACTTGGTGGATATTTCCTCTCATTTTAGATGGCAGCCCGAGGAACTTGGATCGGAGTTGGTGTTGGTCTACAACCGTCTCCACTATCCAACCAGTACTCGAATACTTGTGCTGTACTGGTACTGTACACTCACACCCCGCTGTCCCGGACGGCCAAAATCCGAAGGATCTGTCCGATATAGCGAGTGATCCGGGACAATAGGTTAGGTTTTGGTGTAAAGAAATTCAGAATTTACCCGAGTTTCATACGAGACAGCGAGATATCCGGTTCGGTGTGATCCGGGATAGCGGGGTGCGAATGTACTTGTACGGTATCCTGAGCTGCATCTTAACCGTCATTGAGGTCCCATGCGGGATATGACCAGTAACCTATTCGATCCCTCCGGGCTACCATACAGTACGGTACTCGCCGCTCTGGTGAGTTATTATAAGGATTTGAGGCCCTGGAGACTGTTCTGCTACTCGAGTAGTGGCTCCAAGACGTTTCAAATACCAATCCCTCATTGCCAACAGTTAACTTAGGTGATCTGCATCGACTATTCTGGAATCCCGAACCCATCATCCCAACAGCGAGCAAACTTAACCTCTCAAGCTGGGATATCTTTTAGCAGGGAAAAATGGCAGGTTAAAAGTTAAGGCGTGCCGTAGATAAATTCCGCGACCACTACTAGAGTATGGGGGGTTAGATACCTCCCACGCCGAGCTCTATGGAGCTTAACGGAGCCAACGCAGAGATTCGGGTAGTTCCGCCAAGACGTTCGAGTATCCGATTAAGCTTTAACCTGTGTACTCGAGTACCGAAGGGACAGCTCATCACCTGAAAATGGAAACTAGATGAAGCAATGAAACTCAGCCAAGCGAACGTCATTCCTTGCATCTGGAAAACGGGGTAGCGAGGGGAAAATTAAACCCGTCGGAGCCAGTCTTTCCGCCTGTCCCTCCTAGGCACAAGCGAAGCGGATTATTTTCTCGATTTCCGGGGGGACAGGAGTCTACCCAGCGAGCGCCAGCGCTGGCAGGTGCCCCCACCATCGTTACGTCGGTAGTGCGGGGTACCAGATGAGATGCTCGAGCGTTTGAGCCAGCTGGCTACGCAGAGTGATCCCGGCCACCCGTTCCCCTCTCGCTTGGTTTCATGCACAGAATTTTGACATATAATGAACTGGTGTACGGCGAGTTTCGAAGAAATCACTGGAAATCTTTCGAAGACAATCTACGTGGAGTATCCTCCAAGCCAACCTCCACCTACCTTCCAAGATTCTGCAGGATGAGGTTTCAGAGTAGACGGCACATAGATATGGCTACGCTTCCTCGCTCTAGAATGGTGTGCTAGGATCTTTTAATGTGTGTACGGGCTCTGGGCACCCTTAGATGCTTCCAGCATATCACCCCCTGAGTGGCCCTCGAAACGGCCGATAGAATCGAAGAGAAGCAATAAAGCGGACTCGACGGACTTAAAAACATCTGGTCACTACCGTGGGTGACGTGGAAAAGCGGAGAACTGCGGATGCCCGAGGGCAACTGAGGAGGAGTTTCCTGTATCTCCAACCATGTTATCAGGGATATCCTTCTGAGGGGAGCTCGGGTAGAGGTTAGGCTTTCGAGGAGATTAGGATTTGCGATAATAAAAGGGAAAGGAGGGGGTTTTGGTGTTGGGCTTGGAACGAACTTTTCACCGTCCGTCGTCCTGGACCTGACATAGGGAACTCGCCTCTCTATCCTCGTGACGAATAGAGACTCGCCACTGCCAAATATATGGGAATCATGCCACTGGTGTTTGTTCCCATGCTCGCTTTATACGGGTTCTTTGGTATGATAGGCTATTCGGTGTGTACATAAGAACTATCATCCCATGTCACCCATCACTACTGTTCATATCGGAATCAGGGGCCCCTCATTGCTCATCACAGTTAATCTGCTTTGGGGGGACTTCCAATATCTTCTCTTGTATCCGGTCAGAAGCCTCCTAGAACAATTTATGTAAATACATGTTCTATCCTGCTCCTAGGGCCGAGATCTACGTACTGGTATCTAGGTGTTGCGGCGATGGATTTTTGAGAGGTTAGGGGATGGTGGGTCAAGTGCCACCTGGGAGATCAGGAGAGGATGACTTTGGAACTAAAAGGAAGAAATGGAGGGGGGATTGGGTGATGCCGGAAGAGGTATAGTATTCTTATGTACAATACTGGTCAGCTATGGTGCAGGTATACGGAACCTTCTGGTTTAGCCGTTATTGGTCTGGGAGAATTTGGTACAAGATGTGTCGATGGCATCATGGAACAGCGGGCAATGGTGTTAGAGATTGATTATGGGTGTTCAACAGCTTGTCTAGTGATGAGCCCTCAGGCCCCCTCTAATTTCCGAGAAAGCTCGGTACATGAATTTATCAAATTCATTTCTCTGTTCATAACTCACAGGCTCAGAATGCAAGCGCCCTGGGGCCCTACGGTCTGGTATGGGATATAGCCTCATTTGGTCACTAAAATCACAGCCTTTCCCTATCCGGTGAAGTCAGGGAATTTACTTTGGAGGTGATAAACCTAGCTAAATGTTTTCGTCACCTTTTCCCTTAAATCTTTGGATGATTGTAGGTGCTCTTTTCTGTTCGAGCACTGAAAGGGTTAGGGTTATGCAAAATTCTAGGTTAGTTTCGACAACCGATAGGCGACTAACAACAGGATTCTGTTAAGAACAGCGTTACTTGAAGTTCCCACATTTGTACCGCACTGGTGTCACAACGTTGATCCAAGAAGGGAGATCGTCTACTCTGTCCCCTTTTTCTAATGTCGCTTGGCGCAGCCACCTAACACGAATCACTGGTAACTGCTATGCTCCGGCCGCGGTATATGGGGGACGAATTTAGAGAAAATATAATCCTTATCGCCACGGTGTGTTAAGTGCTATCACTCTCGACTCGGTGGAAACTTGGAGGCAGAATTATACATGGTATCATATCCTACGATTGAGCCAACTAAACACATGATAGTTGAGGCAATAAAGCCAAAGGTATTGAGTACAGATCCTCGGCTAGAGCCAGATTCAGGGAGATCAGTTTATTTAAGGGGAACTGCAATTAGGGACGGCTGAGCGTTCTAGAGAGGTGAGCACCCAATACCAAGGTCTGCGATTCGGGTGCATGCTTTTGATAACTAGGTCTAACCCAGATTCGTTATCGCGATCAGGCCCCCCCAAATGCTGAGCCCAGAAAAGCCCCACGGAACGCTACACACGATCCCTACCCGGTAGAGGGTACCTGAGGTGCTCTGCAATCCTTGGGGTCCCGCCCAATTCCTCGGTTGCGGGGAGGACGATAATACGACCAGAACTCCTCATCCCCCCCTCCAGTAGGATGGCCTAAAATGCGAGTTTGATGCTTGCATTTCTGCTGGAGAAGAGCCTGTCTGGGTTAAACACCATGTAGAGTAGATGCAATCGTGGAATTGATGTTATCTCCTTGCTTCGAGCCCTCTCGGCTTCTCCGAGTTAAGCACTTCTGCATACAGGGTCGGGCAAGAATCCTTGAGGCAAGGATTTTAAAATATCTGATACGGTCGGGACTCGTGAGATGGTCTCCGTGTTGTGAAGGGTGTTGGGATAGTGACTATTTTGACACCAATACCTGAGTCCCCCTGATATCCTTATTACCACACGGGAAGCGATCAGAGACACTGGTTTCCACAGCCATAACCTAGCCCACTAGGGGAAATAGGCCAGCTAGTTGATATCCACCATTGCCTCCGTATTCACCCAAAATACGCACTCCTCATGGAGCATCCGGTTGAGAACCTATGTCATAGTTTTGACTAGAAAGCGCGGGCTAATATGTTCACTCTGGTCTGTAGGACTTGTCTACAAGAGACCGTATCCCATTCTTGGATGATATCTCCGAAAATCACTGCCCAATACGCCGGATAGATTACTCATCACGTAACCATTCCCGGAAAAGCCGAGTAAGCAGGAACCTTTCGCAGGACTATTGGGAAACGCCGTACTACATGCAGGTAGCGGAACTAGACTCTTGGCGCTCAGGCTGGGGGGAACATATCATCTCCCAAGCTGGGTCCCGCTGAGTGAAACTCAAGGATCTTGTACGGAAGGTTCTTCGAAAATATTTATATGATATATCAGAGGTATAATTGAGCTGACAACTAGGCTTGTAATGTGTGTGCCCAATCTTATGTAGACTATTGCGCGAGATTACAAGTTTCGGCATCTGGCTTCTACAGGGTGTCTAAAAAATATCAGAGTAACCACTCCAAAAAACCCTCGTTCCGTTTAGGAGATAACGGGGGTATAAGAGATGTTTCTACCCACGACTATAGCATCCCTTCTCACGTAGCGCGGGCCCATCTCCACTTGATCTAGTCCCATCCACTTGCCCCCCCCCCACCCTTCTATATAACCCCCAAGGACCTCAAGGCTCTGCGGGTTCTGGTCCGATCAAGATTGCGGGGCCATCTACCTTTCATATAGCACAATATGGCCATTCCCGTATTTTGGACTGCTGCCCCGGGGCTCGCCCTGGGAGTCTGTCTAGCAAGCTTCATAGCAACTATAATCTACTTTGCCAAAGGAACCTCAAGAGGCAAGAACTTTCCTCCAGGACCACCTACACTACCAATTCTCGGAAACATGCACCTCATACCACAAGAGAGGCCATATTTAAAGTTTACGGAATGGGCAAAGCAATATGGTGGTATTTACTCAATCAAGATCGCCAAGCAAACCATTGTCCTAATCAGCGATGTAAAGATTCTCAAGGAGTGAGTGCATACTCTTCAAATACTTTTGGATATGAGCCTTTCTAATTTGTCTCTTAGGTTGTATGATAAACGTGGTGCAATCTATTCATCCCGGCCTTTACCTCACATTGGTGCTGAGATTGTCTGCCCGGACCAGACCCATATCATCTACATGCCATACGGCGAGACCTCCCGTAACTACCGTGCGCAGTACCATCAGTTCATGGGCCCCGGGAAGGTGGAGCAGATATTGCCTTGGCAAAGCGCTGAATCAACGCTTCTGCTAAAGAAGATTGCAACAAGTCCAGAGAGATACTACGAACACACCATGCGCATGGCCACGGCTGTAATCTTGGAGTCGGTATTTGGAGTCTTGCCAAAGGATTACGACGACCCGGAGGTCACTGAACTTTGGACAGTGCAAAGAGAGTTCTCGGAGATTTTGGCATTGACGGGTCCACCCGTCGACCACTTCCCGTTCTTGAAATGGCTCCCTGACATCGTATCACCCTGGAGAATCCATGCCCGAAATGTTCGTGCCATGCACAGAAAACTCTACTTTAGACTCCTCAACCTAAACAAAACAAGAATGGAAAAGGGAGAGCGATATGGAACGTTTGTGGAAAAATTAATAGACGATAAACCAAAGCACGGCCTTAGCGACGAGCGAATTGCATATGTTTGTGCAACTTTGGTGAGTGGCCCTAGTTAATTTATTTTCTGAACTGGAATTAACTCATTTGTAGATGGAAGCCGGAAGTGACACTACTGCATCCCAAGCTCTTGACTTCATGATGGCATTACTGGCATTCCCGAATGTCCTCAAGAAGGCTCAAGAAGAGGTCGACCGAATATGTGGAACATCGAGATTGCCCACTCTTGACGACCGTGACCAAATGCAGTACATCGAAGCTTGTGTCAACGAGGTATGGAAAGGTTATCAGGCCCTTTGGATGCCATCTAACAATCTCCCAGGTTCTTCGATGGAGACCTCCGCTACCATATAGTGCCCCTCACCTGCTCATGAAAGGTAGCTCATCTCGATCAATTACATATCATAGGCAAGAAAAAAAACTCCTGACACCCAAGCACAGACGATTGGTACGAAGGATACTTCATGCCCAAAGGAACAGTCCTGTTCCAGGTCCAATGGTAAGCCATCCTACCCACCCTCTTGTGGAAATGTTAACGCGGGTGATAGGGCAATGAACATGGATGAAAACGTCTACGAAAAGCCTCAAGACTTCATGCCAGAACGCTACATCAGGAACCGGTTTGGCACAAAGTTTGACGCCGAAAAGGATGCCGAAATTGGTCGCAAGGAACAGTATGGTTTCGGCCTCGGCCGAAAGATATGCCCAGGTCAATGGTTTGCCAGGAACACGCTTGTGAGCTACCCACCCTTATCTGGGCAATGTGGATTGTGATTCTGACCTAGCATAGTTCGTCCTCTTCGCCAAACTCATCTGGGCGTTCGACATGAAGGTCCCTACGGACCCCAAGACAGGGATGCCACTTCCTCTAGACACAGACGTGCGCACGGCGTTCATGGACGGGCTAACCACCACGCCCTTCAAATTTCCGATCGAATTCAAGATCCGGTCGAAGGCCCATGAAGAGGCCATGAATACTGACCTTGTTGCATCGGACAAGGTCTTTGCAAAATATGGTGGTGCTACGGTTTAGGTGAAGTAATTCCTTGTTCATTTCATATTATGTATCAAGCGCTAGGTGGTCAAGTTATACGGTTATCAAGGGTCTTACTATACTTTTTCTTTCCCCTATCATATTAAATTAAAGTTTGGTTGGTGAGATCTGTGGTCTCGTCAGTATATCTAGACAACCTACGGTATCAAAAATAAGTGATCTGTGATGTTCGTGCACATGAGATAGTATCAAGTAAGCTCCTGCGGACTCATCATCCGAAAACATAATCACTATTTATTTAACACGGTAGAGCACATCAGCTCTAAAGATCTTTTTAGGTCCCACTTTTAGCCCCAGGGGCGGGAGTTTCTCAAAGCGAGGTGCAAGGTAGAGAAGCGAGTGGAAGGTGCCTTCCACGTGTACCTTAATCGTATGGTAATTTATTCTGGTATGATAGAAGTGCTTAAGAGGCTGTTTTGCGTCTAGAATATTGGGCCCAGTCTTCCAAAAGAGTGAGTTTCCATGATTGCTTGACTCGCCACGAGTAGTAGTTCACAGTGGGAATATGTCAGCAGTAATCGGGAGATGATCTAGAAGATTTGGCTTTGGATAGGCTGCGGTATTATCATACGATACTGCAAACTAATCTTCGAATGGAAAGATTTAGGTGGTTTGATCATGATCAGCCAGTTTTGGGAGTTACAGGTAGTGTGATCATGGGTTAGGGTTTTGGAACTGATCTGATTCCGGTGTTGCGCTTATCTCAAAGTCGCAGTCAGATGGATGGTGTGTCGTATGCACACTGAACCTTAGGAATTTCTGTCATCGTGACCCTTGGCTGAACGGTATCGTATCGTGGTGATGAGTTGACTTGCAGATGTGTTGTGTACCTTGAACAATAAGAGGAAGTAAAAACTGGTCAAGCATGAATCAATTGGACAGGGAAAAAAGAACACTTTATCTCATCACTGTCTAATTCAAATCATTTATTCTTCCTAAAGGGACAACCACCGACTCGGTATACGTGCCCAACAGCATTATGTCCCAGTAATAAGTCAATACCACCTCTACCCACAAAACACTACCATGGGCAGACCCATCTCGCAACCCTCCACCAAAATCAAAATAAAACAAAAAAAAACAACAAAAAAATAAAATAAAAATTATTATAGGGTTGTGCTAAGGACCTGGCCATATAGATATCGTGAAAAACCTGGAAGGAGCCATCCGTAGGCAAATATCCTGGAATGTGCCAGAACGCAGCCATACCTACATGAGCCGGAACGTATCATCGACAAATCACCACTAAAAACCATACACCAAGTAAAGCCACAGCGGACCCACCGCAGAGAAGACATCCACAACCAAGTTGATACAAACGCTCACGAGCACGGTACGCCGAACGACCGCCACGAGCGCACATACTATGACAGCAACATGGACAGCAACTACCTGCAGACTTATAGCCACGGAGATCAAGACCGTTACCAATATTTCTACTCACACTGTCACCATAACACCGACCACGATAAGTGTGCAAATGACCACTACCGTCACCACACAGCCTACTTTGACACTCACAACCACTGCAACGCATACTGCGTCGGCTGCTCTAGCTTCCGTCCCCCCTCACCTTGGTATTAGCTCTCCCACAAAAGAGCTCAACGGCCCATCCTGCCTGGCGGACTGCTACAAAAATCCGCGCCTCGCGGGGTGGTTCAGTGAACAACGGTACAGAGAGGATGCGCATCCAGAGGTAACACCCCACGCAGAGCAGCCCGCTCGAGAGGTAATCCGTCCAGGCTAACATTCGCCGAAACAGTGAGTGGACATCTACAACAGATTCGAGCAAGCCGGCGTCAGCGTACGAACTTGGATCGAAGCAGACCAGGCGAAACTCACTCGGTGCGCCTGCACGCGCAAGACCTGGGTGAAGGCTATGTCAGAATGTGGGCTTAGAGAGGTGCGCTACGCATTCCTCTCGGCTCGCCAGCGAGGACGGAAAAGCTAACGTTGAGCAGTGCGCGTTCGACCGAGTTGCTATCCAGCAAACTGTGATCTTTGGATACCAGGTTTGCTCGAAGAAGGGATTTGTTGAGTTTCCCTATGCGGATGGTTTGCCCACTCCCCTGCTTTTCTACCCTCCCCGATTGCTAACAGGGAAAGCATCTAGACCTAGCATCATCTCTAGGAATCGAGGTTTCTGCAAACACCACTCTCCCGGGCCGAATCACCATCGCAGCTAATGGTGTCGGTGGAGCGCCCAGCTTCCCAATACTGGACGAGGATGGCGACAGAATGGTGTTTGGATCGGCAGCTTGGAAAATACTTCCCGAAGGTTCCATATTGGTACCTGCACTCCTCCTCACAGCCGGTTTCATGACTGTGCGGTGAGTGTAGACACTGGCGACCGGCATTGCCCCGCTCCGATAGTTCTCCACCGGAAAAACACCTTTAAGCCTTTTTCTCTTCCGAATCCCTTTTCCTTTCATCATTTCTCTCTGTGCATGAGGTCGGGGCAAATATGCGTAATTCCACGACTGGCTTTTTGCTTTATATCTTTGTCTCCCTTTCTGAATATTCTTTCTTCTTTCTTCTTTCTTTTCTCCATGGGATTGACAAGCGGATGTGGTGGGCTGTGAACTAGAACCCCCCCTCACCCCCAAGCCGATAACTGCCCCATCGCCCCACCAATAGATAGAACCCTCCCTTCCCTTCCCATCAAATCCACTATGCAAATGTGTGTATACGATACAATACAACCCCATCATATATCCACCCGGTTCCGGTCTCAAAACCCGGCTTACCCCAGCTTACCGTCACGCGGCAGCATAATCGGACCCGGCCCGGTGGGGGTTCACCGAGCGACCAACATCCGGTACCGGGTGTGTGTGAGGTTTATATTGGGGCAAAGCTTGAGTACTATATAGCAGTGCATTGGTGTGTGCGCGTGCCGGGCAGAGGAGCGGATGGGGGGATGGGAGGTGTAAGGCTAGAGACGCCACGCAACGAGGTAATCGCGGGTGGATGGATGGATGGTGAGAGGTGCGGGAGGGAGGGCTAGAAGGGAGAGTGAGAGCGAGTGATTGGTGGGTTAGGGGTTTTCATCTTTGAGAGGGAAAAAAAAGCGGAGTTTGAAACTGTCGCCGTCCATAAGTGAAAGACTTCAAATTATAAGCTTTAATAAGAATGGCACTATTGAATTTTATAACTATTTTAATTTCTGTAACAGCATTTCACCTAAGTACTAGTACAAGAGTACATAGTAATTACAGAATTTATCACAGATGAAGTAGCCATACTTTGAGAGCTTTTGGCGGGGGTGAGGACAGTGGTATTGGCAAAGAATAGAAGTTGTTTGGCTCTACTGGGGCAGGATTTGGATAATTGTTCATAGCTGGTATTGACAAAAGAGAAAGACAGTGGGTGCACACTGTCTCATCAGGTATTGTGATGATAATATTCAGTCTTAAGTAGTAATAAAATAATAAGTTCACAATCTAAGAGGAAACTGGTACTGTAACCAAGCAAACAAAATTCAATTTCAAAATTTCCCAATACAGCTAGGATACCCTCTTTTGGTGCTTTGCCTCTGTTGCCATGAGTGAAGGGCGGTTCAAAACCTCCACTCTTGGCGCACAGGTAAAGGTTGGGGATAGACTTTTTGTTTTGGCGAGTACTCAAGTGCAAGTACAGTACAGTACAGCAGGATCCTCCGATCTCCAAAGTCCGCCATTCCCGACAGTCAACGCTTGCCATGGGCCAGGCTGGGCCTTGGTCTACAAAAGCCCATGGGTGGCCCATGAGGCCCATAGGCTTTTATTAGTTTGTAAATTTGTGCCCTAAGGTGAAAGCAACAATGGTGAATATTACCAGTAGCCAAAGAGTAAGGGTCTGAACGGCGTGCATGTAAAGGTCGGGGACAAACTTTTTTTTTGGCGAGTACGCGTGCAGTCCATGGTAATTTAAGCTAGGCGCTGACCCGACTCCGATGTGGGTGGGTGAGATTAATTGTGGGACAGCAGACCAAAGCACAGCAGATCGAAAGCCCATTGTACCGTACTTGTACAGTACAGCGCATAAATTTCAAGTAGAGTGGGAGTACCGTAGTCTATGATACTAAATTACCGTACAGTACCGGTATATCGTGTGTGGCGGGTATCGTGCAGGCCCCAACTCGCGTCGCGTAAAAAAGCACGCGGGGCACTCGGCGCGTCTTCACCACCCCACCTGTACCCGAGTATATTCGTAGACCATCCTCGACAGCAACCCGTACCGCGAGCCGGGGTAGCATGGTGAGAGAAAAAAAAGAAATGGGGGAAACAAAAAAATTATCGGTTTGAGGCGAATAAGCTAGCTACAGGACTTGATAACTTTTGGAAAAACAAGAATTGTTGCATCGCACGTGGACACTGTTATGATATTCGTGACGAGCCAAGAGACCGATGTTGTGTCGCAAAACCCTTCTGGAGGATGGTGGAAGGAATCACCGACTGGCGCATCGGTGCCGCGAATGATGTGGGCCGGCAGGTTCGTCCCTGAAATTGGCGTCTTTGGGGCTATCGAGTCCTTTAAGGTTGTCGGGATTTTCAACCCCATTGACGTTCTCCCCATTCTCCTCTTCTTCCAGCTCAACTATATCCTCTGCCTCCAACTCTACTATCTCCTCCCCTTCCAGCTCTATTATCACTCCTCCTTCCAGTTCTGTGTCCTCTCCTTCCAGCTCCATCACCGCTCCTTCCGGCTCCAATTTCTCCTTTCCCTCCTCTTCTCCGTCCCTTTTTTCCTTCTTTTCGCCATTCGGCTTCTCCCTCTCC